AGAAGGTACTCGATACGGTATGATTTTATGATGCAGCCGAATATTAACACTATTTTGTTTGGAGGAAGTGAACAACACAGACTTAACATGGATTAGGGATTTACTGCTGAGAATTTTACGCATTTTTCTCACTGTGCATAGTTCTACAGAAGTCTTCAGTGATGAAAATATTACTGCAGGCAAGTCAAACACATCATACTTCCCACAGAGGCAAATACTTTGATTTGAAGGAATTATTTTTGATTATTTTTATTGGGCAATATGTCTAAAAAAGCACTGCATGAAAGCACTTTTAAAACCATTTTCTATAGATTTGGTAAACGGCAAAAATAACATCCTTACAATGCATTTAGATAGAAACCCTAATCATTTGGTAGTTATCCTTTTCACATTGTGACTGACTTACATTCTTCAAAATAACAACAATAAAAGGCCTCAAGTTCAATAGGCCTATTTATGAGCTATCTAAATAGGTGATATCTATCATCATCTGGCTGATCTAAAAAGCTAAACAGGGTTAAATCTACTAGTAGCTGAATGAAGGCCAGCTTTTGCTGAGTTGTCTAGAGAAGACAACAATGGCAAATTACTGTAATTGCTGAAAGTTGTATGGATACCTCCATCTTAATCTTCAGGAGTCAATCTCAATTCAAAAGGAATGCTAATCACAGTGTGGCTGTTTGAATTATGACTGATCTTGGAAGTTAAGCTCTACATGGGAGATCCTCAAGGAATTTCAGATCTGTTGGTTAGATTGCAAAGATAGAAAAAATATCCTGGTAATAAATAATGGCAAAGCATTTTCACTTCACTGACAAATTGCATTCAGGTAATCATTTATTAATTGGGAAACTCAACTGCCTTTCTACTTTCAATTGTGAGCTGTTGAAAGTTAGCTAGCTGGCCACTATGAGACATCCGATCCAAATCCAAATTGAACTTTGGTCTGATTTAAAAGACACTGCATTCTTTTTAAAGGAGAATTATGTTTAATATAGTACAATAGTATTTCCACTGGCTCCACTCATTCTTCTCCTACCTGATCAGAGGGGAAGGAATTAATGATATCACAAAGCTTTGCCTGTACTGACATCGTGCTAAGCTTCATGTGATACCAGGCACTACATAGTGAAACTAAGTGAGAATCTGTGTTCCCAAAAAAGTGACTTTGAATTTAATTAGTGTGATCTTGTGCTGCAAAATCATTGGTAATGAGAACTGAGTGCAGTAAATATATGGTATGGACAGCATTAAGTATTTTGGCAAATTGACAGTAACTATCTGCATCATGAGATCTGGCGAAGGCTTATGTTTATTTATGTAGAAAAATGTGAATAGCCCTTCAGTTTGATTCCTACAATAGCATATAGTTAAAAGTATAAACAACACAATAAAGTGCAACAAAACAACATCAAACATAAGTATAACCAATTCAATAAGCCACACAAACTTATTAAAATGTCTACACAGCAGATTTTAAAAGTGGTTGCAAGAGAACGGTTATACTTTCCTAAATGTCAGCTCTTTATCATTAATGCAGTGAAGACTACTTATTTTGTCATCAAAACTATGTTGATTGAGAAATCAAAGACATTTTCCTATAAATGTGTCTAGTATGCAGCCTTCATGACATTTGTGGCTAAGTATAAATTCCTATATATAGGAAGAAAATCTTTAAGAATGTGGATGCAATGAATAATAAAAGTATTTCTATTTAGCTGTTTCCTGCAGTGTTCCATTTTGTACAATATGCTCTTTAAAATTCCTATGAAGCTGCTGGCAGTTATTGTTTATTTATTTTATTTATTTAGCTTGTCAAACATGTATGAGATAATTGTGAAGAATCTATTGTGAAAAACTAAATACAGATTCTTCAACCAGCTCTGTTCCTTTACATTTTTACTTTCCTTGAAAATAAAATGAAAGTTCCTTTGCACTTTTATTAAATACTTACTTAAATAAAACTGTCAAGTCTCTTAAAGAGAAAGAGAGATAGAGATCCCAGTAGCTCTAAGCACCTGACAAATATTCATGATTATAAAAATTATTAAAACCGGACTAAAATTTATTTTAAAAATCCTAAATAAATGTTTCAACTATAACAAGGAGGCCCAGATCCAACTTTACAACAAGTTCTCCTGTGAGCAAGCAGCTGTTTTGCAAAAAAATAAGGCAGAAAGAGAATTTTTGCATTATGAAATATTAAGTAGTTGCTCACAATTTTTCTGTTTCTGCTTTCTTGGTTTTGTTTAAACAGACCTTTTCAGATTTAATCAATAATTTTTAATTTGACAATTCTTATCAGGAGATAGGATTTAGGATTTAGGATTTTATTAGTATTTATAGGCCGCCCTTTTCCCTGAGGGGACTCAGGG